GTACCTATTTTTGAAGATACTTGGAGGATGAAAACTTAGGTGCAAGTATCAAGGCATACCTAGGAGCAAAGAGGAACAACTGCAGGGGAAACCAGTGGAAAGCATGACTCTCGAGTGAGTCCTTCTGTCCTCCCCGATTCCTTCTTCTCAACTCCTTACCTCTTTTTTTTCTTCCCTCCATGAAATCACAAAGCTCAATCCCAGAACCTCCTTTGACTACATAAATAAATGGTCTCCTGTTCTGGGCCTCAGAAGATAAACTCCCTGGTTCTGGTCATTTCCTGCTGTTTACATGCTTGTTATAACACCCAAAACTTACAGAATGAACTTTTTTGCTTAGGGTGGTACTCAAGGTCTCCTTGACAACTCACTTTTCACCTTCAGGGTATCCTGCACTGTAGTCAAACAGAACTGCTGGCTGCTCATAGCCAGCTGTTCATGTTCTGCCCACCTACATTCTCCTCCTGCCATGCCTACCATTGGAATGGCGTTCTTAGGTCGAGATCAAATGTTACTTCATCCAGACAGCCCTCCCTGACCCAGCTGGACAAGCCTCTCTTTTCCTGCAACCTTCCCGGCACTCTTACCAGTGGCTCCAGGAGTAGCCTTTCTTGCTCTTTTCCTTGACTTAGAAGCATTTACTGTATAAAGTTTTCATCTCCCTCAAACTAGACTTCCAGCTACTTTTGCTGGGAACCATGCCATACCCTCCCTGTATCCTCAGCTAGGAAAAGGGCAAGGATACAATATATGTTGGATAATGGACTGAAAGGAGTAAGGAAGGATGAAAACGTAGGAATGAAAGAGCTAAATCTGCTTCTAGTTCTTGGACACAGAAGAGATTGATTTCCAGGGGCTGATCTTCTTTTCAATTAGTACCAGGAAGACCAGAGCATGTTTCTCATAAAAACTCTCAGTTTCTATGTTTTCTAACAATGATTCTCATTTCTCTTCTTTGGGTCTCTAAATCCACTGTAGGTCACCCCTGTTATTTTCCAGCTTTGCTCACGTTGCTGCAATGTCAGGTTGATCTGTCCTTTTATGCTTCAGCATCAAGCAAAGGAAAAAGATAAGATGCTATCTGAAGACCCAAGATACTGCAATGCTAACTTGTTAGATCTTGGGGTAGCAAGCAATTCATACAAAGGTATTGATGTTATCTGGAGACCCAAAATATTGCAATGCTAACTTGTTTGGTCTTGAGGTAGCAAGAAATTCATACAAAGGTATTTTTATTTTTAAAGTTTTGGATGCTGTGAGATTTTCTGCATGGTCTTTTTAATGACTTCTCAAGATTTCCTGGCTTTATGCAAGACGGTTACTTATAACTGGAGGCAAGTTAACAAGGGAAAAATTATGTTCCATATAATACAAACAGGAATAAAATATTTAATAGTAGCCATGAGAAATAATGATACACTGTGGCATAGTGGGGGCCTTGTGGGACTTGAAGTCCAAGTTTCCATCCTAGCTTTGCTCTTAACTTTGGGGGAGTCAACTAAATTCTCTGTGTGTGCATGAATCCAGGTCAGTGGGAGCTCTGTCAACATCAGGTCTCTGTGTGGATCTATTTGTGTATGCAGTTTGTAAAGTGCTGTTAGATTTTTTTCAAGGCAAGAGATAAACTCGTTTAATTTAAAATCATCAGCTGGATTGCATTAAATGAAGGGAAAAGCAAAAACATATACAATACAACCATTCATTAAATTAAACACAACTATTTCTCCTGTTACCTAATTACAAACAGACATAAATACTCTGGATTCTGACATCTCAGATCTTTTTAAAGTCTTGATCTGCATTTTGACATGTAACGAAGGGAGGGTCATATTCCAATTTGTGAGTTAAGCAAACTCGAGAGTTACAATTGTATTTTGGGACCATAATGACTTCACTAAAACAAGACCTAAACTTTTAATTAACCTGCCAAGACAAATTACAACTCACAGCTCACAGGTAATGATCACAGACAGCTGAGTCTCAATGGCAGGGACTCTTGGGGAAAGAGGGATTAATAGCAACATCAGAATCAGTCTGTTTTTGTATTAAAGAAAAAAACCCCAGTGTTCATTAAACAATCACTGTAGCTTGAAGGAAGACAGACAGGTCAGGAAGGCAGCAAGAGAAAGTGGAAGGAGAAAGAGGAAGGCAGGGAATATTAACAGCTTCCATTTACCAAGTGCATATGGCGGCCTGAGCTGCACCAGGCACTTTATATTTCTCTCTCTAATCTCCACAATGGGGATTGGAGAGTCCTACTGTTTTTTGTTTTTCTGGACAAAAACAAGCAAACAAAAACAAAAGAAAAGAAAAAAGAAGTTCAGAGAGGTGACATGACTATCCATGGCTGCAGAACCAAGATGGGAGAGTAAGGGAGAGAAGAAACGGCAAGTGGCCTCAGGAGGCATTTGTTTTCCTGTTTGTTGACAGATCTCTGGGCTCAGGATCACTTAGGCCCTGAGGCAAGCCTACTGAGTTGGAATTTCGGAAGAAAGGCCCAGGAATTGGAATTTTTACCTGCCTCCTGCTTCCCGGTGAGTCCTTTATTCAACAGCGTCTGAGAATCACCGATGAGGTATTACAGTCCTTCCCTACTCAAAATATCACCAGGTGCTGGTCAGAAAAGCACAATGGAGGGCCCCCACACCTGCTGGAGCAGAATCTGCATTGTTTTTAAAAAAGTTTTTAAAAAGTTTAATGGAGCCCATAAGGCATTATAAATTGTATTCTGGCAGACATTAAGACCAGAATCTGCATTTTAACAAGACCTGCAGGTGATTCATGAGTCCGTTAAAGTCTGAGAAGCACAGGGAAGCCTATCTGCTTGAATAGACATGAAGGGTTAAGGAGAGGTGGAGACAGGTTTCATCATTTAGGTGAGAACAGAGGAACCAGGGGGAAAAGCAAGACCATCTTCCTAATTACAACAGAGCAGGTTAGCAAGCTGTGACAAACAAGACTTGGCAAAGGTACCTTACTGTACCTCCATTTTATTTCTCTAAGATGCACATTCTAATTAAAAGTAGTTTTCTTTGGGGGCTTAAATTAATAACCTTTCATATTTATGCTCAGTTATTAAAACAGAAGTCTGACTGTAAAAGCTTTTAGCTCTGTGCTTCCCTGTGAAGTGTGCCTAGCAGGAGTTAGACAGGGAGATCATGAAGCTGGAACTCAGCACCACTTGATAATTCTGTGCCTAAATTGAAGCCACCATGTCTAGAAAAAGAAAAGCCAGGGACTGTAGCCTAGCAAATCCAGCAAAGCAACAGCCTACTTGATGGAGACAGGTAGAACTGGGCTTCTAATGATGAGGGTGATGGAGAATCTGCCTTAATATTATCAGGAGCCACTGAGCCACAGGCTCAAATCCCAGATGCTTGAAAAAGCAAGACCTGGAAAATGTTAATGATTTGTGTGCTTATAAACCTAACTTCATGGTAGAGATTCAGGACTGAGCTCCCTTTCCCTATACCTCAGAAGAAGACATTCAGGGAGGGAGTCAACAACACCACAACTGCCAAGATGGGCTGCTGATGGTCCTGTCAATGGGAACCTGGGCGGGACAGGTCATACATATGCCCCCTCTTTTACCAAATGAGGGACAATACATGTTGGGGGCTGGGTGGGGTCCTGGGGAGACAGAAGACTATCAATATCTCTTCCCTCTAGGTACTCAGACCCCAGTGGCGAGAACAGACACTTCCAAAACAAGGATAGCACAAAGGGATATTTCTTTCATCTGAACAGTGCTGGCCCCTACCTCTTTCACTTTGCCACAAGAGTAGAATTTCAAGGCTGAAATGATAGCAGAAGCTTATTAAACATGCCCTGTTTTTAACAGGAAGATACTCTCAATACTAAAGGCAAAACTGTAAATGAGAGCAAACTGGCTTGACAATGACCATTGCTATTTAGATGGAAGAACTAGAGCCTTGCAAGAGTTTTGGAAAATGAATAGCAAAGTAAGAGATTTTCTTTAAAGTCCACTTTTCCCATGTCAAAGTGACTCCCAGCTGAGGATAGAAGCATATACATGTCACACAGCTGAACTCTAAACCACACAGAGCTTTTCATTAGGTAGAAATTCCATCCCCAAGTGTTCTGGTTTATGGATTTGTGTTTTTCTGTAGGTTTTACTTCCTGTAGGGGACTTTATCTCTAGGCTGTGCCACAGTGCTTCCAATGCAAACTCAGGAAATACATTTTCTAACTTGAGCCACCAAGACTGTCACATCCTTCAGCACACTGTGGTCACCTCAGGAGGAGATGCATTCTGTGGCACATGTTGGTAAAAAATGAGAAATTCTTTCAACACAGGGCCAAGCTACTCAGATACCCACAGGCTTCTGAGGCGCCGAGTCCTTTTCCACCACAAGGGACAGGGATGATGTTGAGATTCATTTAAGACACTAGGGCTTGCTCTTTGTCAGAGAATAGGGCATTCTCAACAAAACCCCCTAGCTGATAGGTGGCATTGCTCATCCAGCCCTTTGCTGGGCTAGTCTCACTCTCCTCAAGCCTTTATAGTTTTCTTTTTTTTTAAATTTGCCAGGGGTTGTTGGCTCCAAAAGCAGCAAAACAAATCAAAGCAAACCCCAAACCAAACCCAAATAACAAATCAGTGAGTTGAACCAAGTGAGACTCTCAAGATAAATAGGTGGGAGATAAATGCCAAGCAGAGAGAGGTCGCCTCCATGTGACTTGTCATCCAGACTGTTGTCAGCCCCACCCACCTGGGTCTGGAAAGGCAGCTGTAGGTCCACACATTGCTGCACAGATGGCAGGAGAAAGGCAGTGGGCTCAGGTGCCAGTCCAGGACAGCCTCCCTGGCTGGCATCTCATGCCTACTCCCTGCCAGCAAGCCCAGTGTGGATGGCTCACTCCATGATCTGGGTGGCATCCATAGCTATCAGCAAGACACAGTCCCTTGCTAGCATCAACCTCCAGAGTTCCCCAATATCCTCCAACTCAAAGAGAGCAAGGAGGGCAGAGTTTCTTACCAATGGCAGTGGTGAGGAAAGAAACCACTTCAGACTCCTTCCCATCATTGTAAAAGGCCAGGTGCCAGATTCCTGAATCCAGATATTGGATGAAGCCAGTCTCATGGCTGGCGGGGGGTACACCACCCCGAGACTGGCGCTGGGGTCCTTCTAGGCTCCGTGCCTCTTGGGTTAGGAGCCTCCTTCCATCTAGCAGCTCCACAAAGTCAAACTAAAGTAAAAAGAGAATGTAATTAGTAGTGGATCTGCTCTACCACACACCACATTCCTTCTTTGGGCTTGTCCTGGGGAAGACAAGGAAACACAAGTTGAGAGAAGCATGAGAGGCTGAAGCCCCAGGAAAGCTTATCAACTAGCTCAAACTTCTTCCCAGAACCCATTGTTTTGGTGATAATATTCTCCTGACTCTTTTGTGAGTATGGCATAATAGTGCATTTTTTAAAAAGTCTGATTTGTCTTCATTTTTGTTGTATGCATGGTGAGTCTTCACCCAGCTATATGTACGAGGACAATCATGCTTTTTCAATGGTGGGCCTGTGGTTAGTAACCCAGCCACTTCAAGACTCTTTGAGCTTCTTGAAAGTTAAGACAGGAACTTCAAGGATCGGATCTAGAACTAGATTAGAGGGTTGAGATTGCAATGACATTCATTAGCAGACAAAGATTTAATTTATATCTATTTGTCTTTTATCAACGATCCTTTCTGAAGGCTCCAATTTTAGGGAGCAATTTTAGGCGAAGTAAACTGGACTGGCTCAGAACTCTATCAATAATTACATGCTGTGCCAAATAGAAATGCCAATTGATCTGAGACTGCTATCATGAGACTCCAGAGAAGTTTGGCCAGCAGCATTAACAACAGGTTGGTGCTAAAGCCCTACTGGCCTACTCAAAGTGAACTGAGTAGCAATCTAGCTCAATAGCTTTTAGAAAAACAAACAGAAGATAGATCTATTTATCCTACATTGTATAAAAACATCTGGGTGCAAGTGAAGACCAGCATAGAAGTTCTGTCACCAGCAGGGGCCCAGGCCCCTATATTATTCTGTGGCCCTATCCTTAGCAAGTGTATCCATCTAGGTTTTAACCAGAAATCTGAACTAGCTACCAGGGTTTGGAAGACAGCATGTGGCCTGAGCATGACCAATGGATGCTTACAATTTAAATTATTGCTAAGACCTCAAATAAGGCTCTCTTCTCTGTGATTCATGACTGGTTATGTCAGTCATCTCAGACCACTGAGCTACACTCCCAACCACTTGGACAAATTCTTTGTGTTTCTGGTTCACACATGTCTGAGTAAATGTGTAATATGGAAGGACAGAAGGAATACAAGAGACTAGAGACGTAGCATTTATTTTGGGCCCGATCCTACGCTAGCTGCCTTATAAATATTATTCTTTATTCTTTATGATAGCCCTGAAAAGTAGGTATAATTATCCTGATTTTATAGATTAGGAAATTTGCTCAGAAAGGGTGTATAATAGACGTAAGGTTACACAGCTGATAATAAGAGGGTTCAAACTCAGTGCATGACTTTTCTCTAGATTGCATTTCTGGGATAATTTAACATAGGAGACTGAGTAATAGCAGCAAGGCTATTTAAGAAATTTCAGAGAATTTCTTTCTCTTAAAGAGCCTCAGAGATTTCACCTTTCTTGTCTGAAAGACAGAGTCTGAGAGGGGGCAAACAAATAAATGAGCTATAAAATGTATGAAATTCTTCCAGCAACTGGGTTGGGTTTCTTGACTTGGGCTAAGAGATCTGAGCAGGAGTCCATTGAGGTGGGTGGGTATGTAAGGTTCAGGTTACCTGAGTGTGTGAAGGAGGAAAGCCTTTTCTGCCATAAATGCCAACCAGGGCTGCCTTTCCCAGAGATACGTTGAACTTCAGATGCACAGGATGGTCTATGAACACCTGAGCTCTCCAGAAAGTACCAGGAGGAATCTTCTGGGAAGCCCGTCTCCCCACATCGATTTCTCCAGAGTCTATAAAACTGTCCTCTGGAAAGAAGCTACTGGATTTTCCTACCAAGACACAGGGAAGGAAAGACAAAAGCATCTTGATTAGCCACAACGGTCTCAAGGACTCAGCTTCTGAACACCCAGGACTCTGCTCAGTCTCTCATTCCTCTGCAGTGTTCTTTAGCCAGCAGCCCCTTTCCCTCACCCTGGCCCACTTCCTCTCACAAGAGTAAGAAGGTCCAGAACTTTTTTTTTCCAGCGATGCTCAAATCGTTCCGCTAAAAATATGCACTCTTCTAAAGCAGTACGGGTCCTCCCTAAAGGCCATCTGTTTACTGTATAATTCCACAGCTTGTTAAGATATATTTTGATCCTAAAAATAATCATTTGCAGTCACATGAGAATAACTTTGTGATTTTGTGAGAGAGTGTGTGTGTAAAGAGCTGCATGGTAAAATAGGGAGGATAGAGGGAGCGAGGTGTTGTTATTGAATTTCCAGCCTGGAATGATTCTCTCAGCAGTGGGAAGCAGGATGCCAGGGGAATAAGGTATTTTAAAAGCTTACTAGTTTATGTAAAAACTGGAAGCCAAATTCTAGATTTGTGACCAGATATGTGGATGAGGGTTTGTTTTGGGAGCAGGAATATGGGTGAGGAAGATGAGGAAGAGGGTTTTTCTTTCTTTTCTTTTTTTTTGGTACTGGGGATGGAAGAGGGTCTTTCTAAAGGGAGGAAACATGTCCGAAAAATGGGTCTTTGTTTTTGGATGGGGGTGGATATCATTTTTTGCTAACGTAGGTAAAGTTGAAGAAATTTCTCAAGTTTATACACAATGTCCATGCCATACTTGAAAATTCAACCTGGGCCCCAGGTCTGTGCCGAGCATCCCTTGGGGGGTCAGGAATGAGGTCTCCTACCCATTTCTGTCACCAATCAGGAGACTAACTGCTTTCTGAGGGCACCATGGGGCCAGGAAGGAAGGTTGCTTATCATACTTCCTCTCTTTAGTAATTAAACACACTCGTATGTGAAAAAGATAAACCCTAACTTCCTGCCAGACATCAGCCTTCTAAAGAGTGGGGAGGGGGCAGAGGAGACCACAGGAACATTAGGAAGGCCACCCTTGGGGACCTGAAACACCAAAATCAAGTCAACAGACATTTTATTATTAGTAAGGACCCCCTGGGCATCCTGGCTCCGAGGCTTTTTTTGTGTGGTTAAGAAATGTTTGAAGATGTTGGAAGAGACCAAGAATTCATTTGTAAAGAAAACACGTTTGTGGAACTTTTTATAAAAAGCATTTGGAGAATAAGAAATTAAAATGTCTTTTTTTCCCTAGCTTTGTAAGACTCCTTACAAAGCACATTTGATGCTGAAATGGAGCTTGGCAGGGCATTGTTGTAGTCATAAAATATTTTACTGTTTTAAATAATAAAATTCAATTTAAATGTTAAACTTCTCCATATGTTATCATTCCCTTATAAACTCCTAGGCAGAAACATCAGGTTTTTAGCTTCAAACCGTTAAATGTTATTTTAATTAAAAATGTGCCAACAAAAAAGTTAAAATGCACGCTATCAATAAAAGTACCACCACTATTCTATCATTAGCATGGGAAAGAGTTTGCATTTAATTCCTTACGGAAGGAATGTACCCCAGACTTTTACATTGAAAATACAGACACACAAACCATCACACTGTGAGCCACAGACTTCAAAGATAGAAGCCAAATTCACAAGTCATTAAGATGGGAGAGAATTATTCACTTCCTTCTTTATCTGATTTGCGGGATCCAGGATCACAACCCTTTTATATGGCAGGTAGAAAGTACTATACGTCCAGCTTTTAATTCTGCTAGGGAGAGAGAACTAAAAGACAGTTTGAAAAACCAAGACGTATTCTGAACCTTGTTCTCCAAGGAACTGCAGAGAAAGAAGCACACGACTGCTAATTCCAAGGGCTTGTTTCCTTTGTGAGTAGGTGGGAGTCAGAGCTGAAGGGATTTGAGAATTGTCTGTATTCAAATAGTTTCTATGTCTGAAAATAATGGAAAAATGCTCCCCCATTTTAGCATGCTGTCAGAGAAGGCAGCACAGTTCATTTTCTCCTCCAGTGAGCATATTTTAGGAGACAACTAGTGTATCAGCTAAGTTCTGTAACCTTACAGGCCAGAGGCCAAGCCCAAAGACTCCCCGTAGAGCTCTGCAGCCCAGAGGAGTAAGTACATTGGCTCGTACCCCATAGGAGGTGTCAAAAGGAGATTTCTCTTTTATAGCACTTTCTAGTGCTATTTCAATCAGGTAGGTCAGATTGTTGAGACACATTGTTTTTCCAGCATATGGAATAAAATAAAAATAATAAATTCTGGTCTGGGGCATATCCCTTAGGAGGATCTTGAATTTGTGGTCTCCACACTGGGCCAATGATAGGGGTGGGTAGAGATGCTGAGAAGAGAGAGAACAGCCTGCTGAATACCTTCACAGGGTGGGAAAGATGACTGAGATTGGCTGGGCCGGAGGCTGCTGAAGTGAAAGGCCTCCCCCCATTCTTATCTTTTAAAAACCCTTTACTACCTTCCTCATTTCAGAGTCTATGAAATTATTTGACCTTAATTCTGAGCACCAAGTATGGAAAGTAGAATAAAATATCCATCACAGAGAAAATTCACCAATGATGGGGTAATGAAGGAGGGTAGAGAATAGAGGATAGAGGCAGCTGGAGGAGAAAAGGTCTGTGTGAAAAGTTCTTACTGGTACCCATGTCCTAGAAGATAATAACAACTATTGGTAGGAGATGTAGTAATAAAGGTAGAGGTGGTTGTGTTGGCTACCATTTGATGAGTCTGCATTAGTGGGTAGCCTCATTTCTACCAGTTCAGTTAATTGTCGTAACACTATTATAATCTCTATACTGAGGTTTAGAATGTATAAGAAGCCAGTTAGAGGTAGAGCCATTTGGGAAATCTCTTTATTTATTAGAATATGACTTCTCGGAGGATTAAATTGACAACTGATTAAAACTCTAAAATGACATTCTCAGTGACGGAGGGATGACTGATCCCCTTAAAGAGCAAGAGTCCAGGAGAATTCACAGCCCTCATAGGCTAAATATCAAGACTTGACCAGGTAGATCTGAGGCCCATTAAAGAATGTCTTGGCATTGCAGGCTTCAAGAAGTTGATCATTGTATGAATCAGGAACTTGCAAACAGGCCCCACAGTTGTCATGGTCTCAAGATGTTCACAAAAAACACACTATACTGTCACTGGGCACCCCCAGAGCCTTAGCAAACAGCACAAAGAACTTAAGGCCCCTCCAACAGCATGATTAGGTTTCACAAGGCAGATTCCCCCAGTAAGAGTCCTCCCTCTTTTTCTTTTTGGTAAGGCCAGACAGATCCAGGTTTCCTATGGCAATGCTGTACAAATATGAAATCATGTCTATAAATGAAATCTCTTGACGGATTGCTGAAATGATTGGCTGGCTCAGTCGAGCACAGATTTAGAAGAACTAAAATTCTACACGCTTCACCATCACAGTCCTTACTTTCCTGAATTGAGACCTATCTATAAGAGTCTAAATTTTTAATCAACTAACAATCTTCCCCTCCCTCCATCTTTTTGGTTCTTTTCAATGCAATAACTTGCACAAAGAATCCTTTAGTTTCCTTAGCAACTGTTTGAAATTTATTTGGTTATCAAAATAAGCTGTTCCATTTTGGAGAGCCCAGCTGAGCCTGTGTGCAGCAATTTGCATGGTTCAAACTGATGGGCAATTTTGATTTCATTGCAGAAGGAAGAAAATGCTATCCCTAGCCCACCAGTTCAACCATCAGAAATGCTTGTTTATTTAATGCTTTTTTCCCCTTCCCCATTAATGCATAACACAAGTTCTTGTGGCTTTGCTTTGAAAAGCTGCTGTATTTTGTTTCTGTTCTGTCACAACCTCAAAAATACAGTATGAATTGTAGTTTTCATGTTATTCTCAAAGATACGACAAACATTTATAATAGTAGAATTATTGTATATTTAATTTGTATAATTAAAAATATATGCTTTAAACATATCCAAAAAACACCCCAAATCTTAGGAGGATATGTGGGGGTAAATGTTCATTAGTCAGGGCTTCTGGTGTTTTAATAACTAAGATGGAATAGCTAGGGATCTCAGTGGACAAGAAGAGAGGAATGAGCATTTGTAAGCACCTCTTTGACACTAGACTTTAGAAGGATAGATATCATCCTTGTTTACAGAGGAGAGAGCTAAGGCCACAGGAGATAGAATGATTTGTGTGAGTTAGCAGAGCCAATAAAATGCAGGGCGAAGAATCAATTCCTGGAGTGTTTCCCTCCAAGGCACATTTACCTGTCTCTATCATGCACACTGCTTCCCCCATCATTGCGGAGCCAACTCTCAAACCTTAATTCTGGAATTAGCTCTCCTCCCTGATGCCCCCTGAAGAGACAAGAAATATGCACTTGGATCAGGAATAGGGACTTTCTCCCTTGAGACAGGTCAAGGAATTAGAGTTTTTAACATCACAATTAAAAGTATAAACCAAATAGACATTTGGTTTGACCAGAGCAAAAAAAAAAAATTAAGAATCATGTGGTTTCATACAAATCATGTGGCTCTGTCTTTGAGGCTGATATATTTTTTTTGTCACACTAATTGCTTCTGATGCTGACCACTTTTCAGCACGGCATTGCACTTAAGGGATTTGTAAACAGGATTTCCATTTGCATCAGTAACGACAGATAATCCCTTTAAGCAAAAATACTCCAATTAAAATAAACCAATAAGCTGGTGCAATTTTGTGTTGTCTCTCATCTGCACCTCAAGCTCCTTGAAAAAAACTAAACAAGACCTAAATAACCCACAAACTAATTTTATTAGAGTGGGAGATTTCAGATAGATCCAACCCCTTCTTAAAGAATGTCTGTTAGAGATCATGGAGGGAAAAAAAAATACATTTTGCTAACTGAGACCCTTTACTAATTCCTTGAGGGTTAAACATATTTTAAATCTATGTTTTCACATGCTGATCTAAAGACAGTCTTCCTTCTATGCTATTCACCTCTGGCATCTGACACTATAAACTGTTATGAGCATCACAAACCAACAGGCAGGACCATGGACAAGGCCATCTTGAAAAAATTCTGAAGAGCCATCAGTTAATCATAAGATGATTCTATTACTAATTTCATATGTAGAATTTGCAAACTGTGATGAACCTTATAGAGAATCTAGCTCAACACCCTTTTGAGGGAGAGGTAAATGAAGTCCAGAACATCTTTCAGGGGACTTGCTTGACTTTACACCACAGGTCAGTGGCAACAGATGGACTTGAACTCAGGGCTCCTGACTCCAAACCCATCCTCTTATGATGGCACCATTCATGCTATGTCCCTCCATATCCTACTAGGGCCAAAGAAAGCATAAATTATTCAATGTTTTAAGCCTTTGTCTCCTTGACAAAGGAGAGGACTAGCTTTGTCCCTCAAAATAGTGGGCAGAGGTTCTGGTTTGACTCTCTGGCAGTATCCTCACTTCTCACTTCCCTTAAAGATGGCCACATGCAAAGAGTTGACTTTGGACTTCAGGATCATCACTTCAGAGATCATAAGAAGATACTGTGACCAATCAAGCTACCATGTTAACCAAACTGATACCTGGGAGGCCAGTCTTTGAAAGGACAGAGAGGATCAGTGGCTACTACTCCACAGGTGACTGAGACAAGAAGAAAGAAGATGTATGCAGTTAAGGCTGCAGGCAGAGATAGCCACTTTACTGATTGAGAAGGCACTGAGAGATAATGCAGGTCACAGCAGACATAGGAAACAAGACGGCCACACTGCCCAGAATGACTACCAGACTGGCTGTGAGCTCAGACATCTTTCTTAGTTCCAGTTTTGGTGATTCTGTGCCACTCTTGGCTGACAGTGAAAGAATTTTTGTTGGTGGCATGTTAGAATACCCTTAAAAGTTCAGGACAGGGGCCCTGGATTCCCATTTAAGAATGCTAAATGCCCAAATGCCACCACCACTCCTGCCATTGGAAGAAACTGCGCACATCTCAGTGTGCAACAGGATTTCTCATCTGCTTCTCCTTCATGGCCCTGTAACTGTGCTCGGTCAAGTGGGGAAGTTTTTTTTTTTGGTACCGGGGATCGAACTTGGGTCCTTGTGCTTGTGCAGCAGGCGGCGAAACCACTGAGCTAAATCCCCGGCCAATTAGGGAAGTTTATGAAGTGAACAAGAGGCCTGTAATCACAGGCCTGGGTTCACATTCCAGGCTTCACCATTTACTGGTTGTGTGACTCTAGCCAAGTCATTACTTCCTGTGATTCTTAGTTTCTGTATCTAGAATGGGATAAATAATTATATTTTACCTCACATTTCTGTGAGGATTAAATGTGAAATAAGATGCTGTTGACAAGAAGCTGTGAAACAAACATGCTGTACAGACACTAATGATTATTGTTATGATTGCAGATGAGGAAACTAGAGCACAGGGAAATTACATGACTTGCTCTAGGTCACATGATTTGTAAATGGAAGACTAGAAGTGGTATATTCATTAAGCCCCAACATCTAAAAATCCTTCCATTATAGTAAACCATCTACTCTCACCACACTCCACTCCTGTAGATGCCCGTTCATCCTGTGAGGTTTCCCCAGCTGGGCACATCCTGACCCCACATGAGGATGGCCATCACAGCAATGTGAGCACCCGTAATGCTTCCTGAGGCATGGGATGGGACTCTGTTGGGCACTATGAGCCCTGCCCAAGCCCCACTCTGAGTTCACAATGACAAGAAACTAGAATGAAGACACAGGTAGATGTGTAGCTGGCGTAGAGTGCACAGGGATGGAGGAAGCACCAGAGCATGGAGTTGTGAGCCAGGCACAGGATGCGCATGATAGAAGTCTCCTCGGTTCAAAGGAGACACAGAGGACTCACGACACGGACAACGCAGCAACCCTACCTTCTGTGGCTCCTTTGCCTTTCCTGTCAGGGGTCTCTAAGCCAGTGCCCCCCGAGGGATACAGGGAGACGTCCGTTGGCACAGGCCAACTGCTGGCTGTGTCCTCCGTGATCTCATACATCTGCCCCTCCATCGGCTGCAGGTGCCAGTTTAGGCCAAACAGGTGCATGGCTGTGGTGAGCAATGAGAAAAGTCATCTTTTTCTGATGGAGGAGGAACTGGAACTCCCAAGCCATAAGGGAAGGGTGGGTGGGGTAGGGAACACAGACATTCAATTCAGTTCAACAACAGCCCCTGAAGACAGCTCACACAGTTCCAGGCCCTGGACTTGGGCCTGGGGACACAGAGGTCATCAGGGCTGGGACTCTGCCCTCCAGGGGGTCACAGTCTGTTGGAGATGGGAGAGGGAGTGAAGGGAAGAGTTTCAGGAAGTCTTGGCTTTTTGCTTTAAAAGATAAATAACAATCTAGAGAAAAAATTGTAATTTGTATCACAAACAGTTAATTTTCTTAACATAAAAATAGCTTCTACAAATAATGAGCAAAGTCCAACAGCTCCACAGGAAAACAGGCATAGATAGGATAAGAACAGACGGTTTACAGAGAATAAGAAGTATCAATGGCTCTTAATCATAAGAAAAGATTCTTGACATCATGCATAGTGAAAGAAATTAAAGTTGAACTCTGAAATATTTTTCACATATGGCAAGATACAAAGGGATGAAAATATACTCAGCTGACAGAGAATGGGAAGCAAGTACTTTATACTTTGCCAGAGTGAGCATAAAATGGTATTTGGTAAAAGCTATAAGATTTAAAATACATACACCCTTTACCCTGGGACTTAAAGGTTCCAATTCTCAGTATCTGTCCTCTGGATACACTCACACACATACTAAAGATGTACATATAAGATTATTCACCACAGCATAATTTGTAATAGCAAAAGGTTTAAAAGCAGTCCACTGATAAGGGGCTAAATAAGTTACTTCCACACAAAAAAATAGTCTAGAACTATAAAAGAGAGTGAGGAAACTCTTTATGTATTTTTCTGGAAGAAAAACTGTAAGATGCACAAGAGTGTATTTGATATATTACCTCTCAGTTTTGAAGGACAAGGCCCAAAGGACTGGGTGACTGACCCCTAGAAGGGCCACAGGAATGTAGGAAGATCTACAGAGACAGGAAGGCCTGTAGTAATTATATTTACTGGGGACTTACTGTTTGACAGGCAGTGTGGTACACTGTATATACTATGTCCAATCCTCAGAGCAATGAACTGGACCCAATTTACAGAGGTGAACACTCAAAAGGTTAAAGTCCCCAATGCATAAAAATGATGAACATTTGAGGAGGGGAAAATGTTTATTACTGTGATTTGATCATTCTGAATTAGATTGAATTAGAATACTGTATTCTGAATTAGTACTGCATTCTGAATTAGTATTGAATTAGAATACTGTACCCCATAAAGATGTACAAGTGTTACAGCTCCATAAAAAACCAAAAACCCTCAGAAGGTAAATTAAAATTATGATAATTATAAAACTATTATTTATGACCACTTACCATGTACCAGGCATTATAAATTAATTATAAAAGCAACATTTTCTTTAACTTTTACAACAATTCTAAACTGTATTAAGAATCCCATTTTACAGATGAAGAGACAAAGATACAAAACCAACTGACATAGGCAAGGTTAAATGGCTGACCACTGGTGGAGTCTAGGCTAGAATTCTGACATGCCCACATCCAGAGAACATGCATCATCTGGCTTTCTGGCTTGGAAGTCCACGTTCCACCTACTTTGCAGTGGTGCCTCTCACCTTGCTGTATCAGCAAGGCAGGCATTACAAAGAGGTCATCGCCTTTATATATCAAAGAGCCTCCATGGCTTTTAAAGTCTCTTTTTAGGCAGCAATATAGGAGCCTGTGAAGCAGAGGCAGCTGTGTTACCTGGCCCCAGGTTATAGAAGATGTCACAGATGGTTGTTTTGAGAGGCTGTGTGACAGCCTTCAAGTTAAAAAAAAAAACAAAAAAAACTCCCCAAACTGTAGAGGTACACTGGGGCATTGAGCACATACTTCTGATTTCAGGTCCAAACACAAGCCATTGCGGGGATACACATACATTTGATTCAGGCTATACTACAGCAATGAGAATAACCTTTGCTTTCTCTCTGGTTATTGTGGCACAGGTCTAGAGGTAAGAAAACTGGTTTTGAATCCTAATGGCCTCTTCCTAGGTGCACTAATCTCATTGCAAATGATCTTAGTATCAAGGAAGTACTATGTGGCAAATTGCTTTGCGAACTGCACATCTGTATGACTACTATATTTTCTAACCATTGTATTTGTGCTGTTGATAATTATGACAATAGGAGCTGACATTTACTGAGCACTTTTTAAGATACTGGGTACTGTGTGAGGTACTTTACACTGTTCTCCACTTTTTCTGAGTAGTTGATGATAAGAATAAAACAGTTAACTTGCCTGGAAGAAGGAAAACTGCTATTTCCAAGGTTGAATTAGCTCACATTTCTGCTTGTCTTCTTACTGTTTTAATCTATATATTGGCAGCTCCAAGGTAATGGAGAACTTGTATGAACTACTGACAACTCAGATATATGCGGTTAAATGAGCAGCACTTCTTTCTCCATTAGAATCAGCTGTCTCATCTAAGTGTGCAAAAGTGTTATTTCATTAAAAGGTCATGAGAATTAATGATTCCCTGAATGAATAGAACTCGCACAGCTTTGTGAAGAGAAACATTTTTATTGCCAGACCTATTTTTAAGATGCAGAAGCAATTCCTTGCTTAAAAACAAAAAAGCAAACAAACAAAAACAACAAAACACTGAGGGGAAAAACGTTTCACAAGTGAAGACAATCCCCAGGTCTGGAGTCCAAGGGGAAGTTAACAGGGCGGATATCCCAAAGCTGGAGAGGTGAATGCTGGCAGCCCTTCCTCTTTGCTTTGCTCCTCCCCCCAACCATGTGGGCTCACACAGCTGTGAAGCTGGTGGTTGGTCACTTTGACTTGTGAAAGAGGCTCCCCAGAATGCCACCCCAGGAATCAAAGCTCTGTATCCAGCTCTGAGACATCCAGAAATCACTTTGGAGGCTGGTGGGTAGGGAGCGACCCCAGGGTTACCAAGTCTGGGCTGAGAATCGGCTGGTTCGAAAAGACAGGAGTTGGATGAGGTAAAGATTCAGAGATGTGGAATTTAGCCAGTAATGTCATTTTAAACCCCAAACGAAAGGAACCTTTAGTCTGTGGCACTTAAATGTAAGTGAAGCTAGTGGCCAATGTATTGCCTGGCCAGTGGTTGATTTCACATTCTTGGGTGATGGGGTCGGGGTTGGGGGGGAGGACAAGCAGTAGTCTGCTCTCCTCTCCTCTGTGCAAAGGATGTGCACAGTCTCCGCCAGTCAGTCCTTAGAACAGTAAGCTTGGGGAACCACCCTGTCCTTTAGTCATCTAAGTAACAACAGCAACATAAAAATTGGCGTCATTTGAATGAAAATGCTTTATTTATATTAATTGTATCCTTATATAAGTTGAAAAAATAGAGAATGTGTATAATGGAACTGGAATAGAAATTGGGCTATAGGGATATATCTTGATTTATTCAGAGAGGTAAGGTAAGTTACCCAAGACCATGGAGCTGGAATGCCAAACTCTGGAGCCCGTCTTCCCAAACCACACTGCTTCTTTTCCATGTTTTGCTTTAATTAGAAACAAAATGTGGGCAACATAAAGCTACCAACAAGAAAAGGCTGAAATAAGTATTAGGGAGGAAGGTAGGTGATACTGATTATAAATATTCCCTGGGCCACAGCAACCATCATTCAAAACTGTGTAAAACAGTATATGCATGTTAGCAAAAAGATTTGAAAGTTAACAGCCATGGACCAAAAGAAGAAAAAGGAAAGGAAAAGCTAAGAAAATGAAAATGCTAAGAAATATAAATGGTTCTCCCCGGCCTGTTAAGGATGAACTGGACTACGGAAACAATGTGAACTATAAGCACTGTATTCCTCCTTCTCTGAAGAATTAATGGTAACCACCCACCACCAACTGCATCTCAGGATTATCTAAACTACACCCTGTGGTGTGAATTTATAACTACAGTGCAAAACTCCAGTCCAGTACACTAAAGGGACCTAGATAAGAAACTTGATACTGGCTTTCCCTTAGACTAGTTTGCAATTCCATGAAAAGGTGAAAAAAAATGCTAAAGAGTTCAGAAAAAGGCTTAGGAAAGGTCGCAGTTCACAGGATCACCCACATTGAAATGTTAATGATTTCAAAAAGCCCAGAGCCTGGGTGGGGGAAGTTCTGACTCCCTTAGCTCTGGTCCATGTGATCCTAAAGTTGACATTTATCGGTTGTCTTTTCCTTCCCAGTGAGACAGGAGAGAAAGCTCCGAATGCAAGCTTCATCTTGACATTTTTAAGAAAGGCTCCATAGACTTTCAGACGCTGAAGGTCCCCCCACCACCCGGCCAGCAGGAGGCAATTAGCAAAGTCTTTACATAGGTGTCACCTATGTGAGAACAGGAGAGTTCCTGCTGCTGTCACAAAGCATACTTTCAGAAACTGAAAGTAGGAACCAACTTGCATTTTCAGCTAGCAGCTTTAGGGAGTGTCTAGAGTCAGCTGGACTTCAGGAGGAACTGTTGATCCAAGAGGTATTTTTTTATTGCAAAAGCGTGGGAACCAAGCCAACCACACAGCTACCCATCTTTTTGTTTTATAGTAGAGGTCCAATTTGGGGGTTGGTTTGTTTTTAATAAAAATAAAGTTTTTTTAAAAGTAAAATTGAAGTCAGTAGAGTCCTTTGAATTATGATCTTCTAATGAGGAAAACAAAAAGGCAAAACAACCAAAACAGGATTTCCTTTCCCAGGTTATTTTCCTACTTTTGCTACAAAGCCACAACATTCAAAAAGTCCTAGACCAAAAGCTATGGACATAGATGCATATTGCAATGTAATGGGAAAAGAACTGGAAGCAACTCAGATGTCTAAAAATAGGAGAATGACTTAGAGCTAAATTACGGCACAGGTACTAGGGGGAATACAAGGCAATCATTATAAAAAATAACTATGACAACCAGCAATGAGAGAAATGCTTAAGATATTACGTTAAGGGGGGAGGGGAAGCAA